GTAACTGCATAATCATGTAACTACAGAATTACATTTTAAAGTGAAACTGACCTCTTTACGGTGAATGTTTTGTGTACCTGTGTGTCTCTTGTAGTGTTTCAGCATGTTGACTTTCTGTGCAAACTTGCGGTTGCACTCCTTGCACTCGTACTCTTTGATGCCCTTATGGAGCTTCATGTGGTGCCTCAGCGCGTGCTTCGTCTTCATACCTGGATAAATACACACACATTACACCCACTGTGAGTTTCGGTCAGGAGGGCAGGAGCGTCTGCTCACTCGTACGGAGGAGCGTGTTGACTGTGTGGGTTTCCTCTATGGGTGCTGGTACCTTTCCCACACTCGGCACACAGGAAGTCTCGGATGTTGTCGTGGACTCTGAGGTGCTCCTTCAGCATGTCCTTCCTCGCAAAGGATTTCCCGCACTGCTCACAGCTGTGGCTCTTCACACCTGCCCACATCACATTAGCCGGTGACGCATACAGCATCATGGGATTTAGTGTAAAATACCAAAACACTCTGACAGACACTGACTGACCAACTTCCCTGACTCATTTAATGTAATGTAAGTACAGTAACTCTGACTCTCTCACTTCTTCTTCTTTACGCATGTACACTTCCATATATGCACTATACTCTCTACTTAGATATAATACTAACTTACACTAGCCCATATGCACTATACTCACTATTACTATACTACTTTCTTATACTAGCCTCTTTGCACTATACTCACCTACACTAGCTTGTATGCACTATACATACTATTAGTATACTACTCACTTACACTAGCCTATGTGCACTATACTCACTATCAGTGTGCTACTCACACTAGCCTATATGCACTATACTCACTTATACTAGCCTATATGTGCCATACTCACTATTAGTATACTACTCACACTAGTGTATATGCACTATACTTATATTAGTCTCTATGCACTATACTCAATACTAGTATACTACTCACATATACCAGCTTATATACACTATATGTATATTAGCGTGTATGCACCATACCCATTATTATACTGCTCACTTATCCTAGCCTATTTGCACTATACTTACTTACACTAGCCTATATGAACTTTAGTCACTTAAAGCTGAGTTGAGTTACTCTGTAGTGTGTTTGCAGTAGACAAAACGCTCAGTGTTTACCATTAAATCCCTCTCAGTACCAGGCTCAAAATCTAGACTTAACCTGGACCCGCTCTGTCAATAACAGTCTGTACTAACAGGACAAGACAAACACAGTCAGTGAGCTCTGAGGCAGGTAAAGTCCACCTGAAGCACCTGAAGCTCACCTGTGTGGATGATTTTGTGTCTTTCCAGGTTGCCGATGCTGTTGAAGATGCGGCCACACATTTCACACGGATGGATATACCTTCAAAAGAGGACACAGTTAGAATCAGAATACGAATCAAAATAAATTATAACGAAGACATAGTCAAACTAATATTCTGAATACAATCAAATCTTGGGACAAACCATCCTACACTGTGTAAGTCATGAAATAGGAAATAAAAACTGTAGTACAGCTGTCAATAAATCCACTGTTAGAAATTTGAGATTTTTACTTTTCTAGAGCACTGCCAAGCTAGGACAAACGCCTCCCACGTTTGTTTTGCTGAATGCCACCAGGGGGCGCTGTGCGTACCTCTGCACGGCCGGGTCGGGGAGCTGCTCGCGGTGGATGACGAGGTGAGCGTTGTAGGTGGCTTTCAGGGCGAAGCGGCGATTGCAGATAACACAGCCGTAACCTCGCTCTTTATGCATTTCCATTATGTGCTTCAGGTAATCTCGGCCTTTAGCAAAGGTCACCTGTCATACAGAGAGCGGTCAGACAAACACCCGCCAGCGCGATCAGTGTTGACCACAGCTCTTTTAGAATGACACGTGGTGATGTAATTCAGGAGTGCACCAATATGGAATCTGTACACTTAAAAAAGATGGTTCTGCATGGGTTCTTCAGTAATAGGAATGGTTCTATGTAGAACCATGAGTCCAAAATAGAACCATTTGCAGGCTTAAATGTCTCTTTATCTGGTGAAATTGTTCGTCAGATTGATTGAGAATGTATTGTATATGGTTCTTTATAGAACCTTTTTGAATAGGGTTCTGTATAGCATCAAAAAGGTCAAGCTTGTAACAGTAGCAGAAACAGTAACAGAACCCTTTTTGATGCTATTTACAACTATATACAACAGATTCTCAATCAATCTGACCTTGCAAGGAACCATTTAAGCATGTAGAACTCACGGTTCTAAACAGAACCACTCCCTTTACTAAAGAACCGTTGAAGAACCTTCTTCTTGTGCAGGTTTTCTGAGCTCTGTGCTAACCTGGCACTTTTTGCAGCTGTATTTGTGATGTTCCGGGTCGTCCTTCTCGTCCTCCTCGTCAGAGTTTCCCTCACTGTCCTCCATCGAGATTCCGATCTTCTTAATGAAGTTCTCTCGCTCCTGCTCGTCCATCAGCGCGATGTCCTGCGAGAGAGAACAGAAAAGAGACAAATGCAATAAGCAGCGTTCACAGAAATGTCCTCTTCGCCACCCACTGAAGCTGGCAGCTGATTGGTTATTAGGCTGTCAATCCTGGACACAGTTGGGAATCATCACTCGCTTCTTTATAAGTATTTGTAATCTACTGCCGAGTCCTCTTTTCACATGCACATGTTTATGTTATCTTTGAACCACGAGACTTTTAACTCGACCAGAAGTGACGTAACACGGTTTACATCACAGAACATTTCTGCAAAGCTGTGTTTTTGTGAGTGAGAACATTTTGGGAGTCCAAAATAAAGCCAAAATAAAAGGCTACTTTCACTGAAACCAGGCTAATCTTTATTTGATTTAGCTTACTATAACAAAAATATAACTTTGCTGTTTAACTAAATATCACATCTTAATTATATCTAATAAAATGACATATCTTATATCTTACACAGATCAGGCATAACATTCTGACCACCTCCTTGTTTCTACACTCATTGTCCATTTTATCAGCTCCACTTACTATATAGGTGCACTTTGTAGTTCTACAGTTACAGACTGTAGTCTCTGATACTTTGTTAGCCCCCTTTTACTCTGTTCTTCAGTGGTCAGGACCCCCATGGACCCTCACAGAGCAGGCACTATTTGGGTGGTGGATCATTCTCAGCACTGCAGTAACACTGACGTGGTGGTGGTGTGTTAGTGTGTGTTGTGCTGGTACGAGTGGATCAGACACAGCAGTGGACTACAGTCTGTAACTGTAGAACTACAAAGTGCTCCTATATAGTAAGTGAAGCTGATAAAATGGACAATGAGCACAGAAACAAGGAGGTGGTCAGAATGTTATGGCTGATCGGTGTATAATGTCTAATATTAATATCTCATACCTTTGAGTTTGGGGCTCCGTTAACCAAGGAGTTTCAAAGCAGTGTCCACGGAAGTTGAAGTAGTTTTTTTAATTGTGTGTTTATTAGAAGTGCTTTTTACTACAAATAGCATAAAAAATTGTAATTTTCTCCTTAAAAGTCATTTTTGCTTTACACTTTTGTAAAACAAAGTCAGAGGCCGTACTGCAAAGACTTCCCTTCTTCCATCATAAGTGCAAATACATATTAGACTAAAAAATTATTTGTCAGTTCAAACTAAATTAACCGGTCTTATTCAACCTAAACCTAAATAAACACTCCTGTTTCAATCAAAGTATTTATTTGGGTTGAATAAAACTATTTAATTTACTTGTTATCATTAAGTAATTTAAAAGTTGAAGACGGCCCGTTTTATACAGTGTATAGAAAAAACTGAATCTTCATTTAGGAATTTTATCTTATCTTTTGTTTATCAATTTAGAGAATCCTAAGCTACTCAATCGAGGTCAATAATCAATTGTTATGATGGTTAACTGGCAACTGATGATACGCACAGCTGAAACGTAAACACAATCAAAATAACGTTAAAAATGTAGGTTAGCTAGGCCGATGTAGAAAATGACAAAACAAAACGAAAGAGTAATAAACCTGGAGTTAAGAGTATTCTGACAGCGCCCCCTGCTGTTTCTAACAGAGTCAGAAATAAACATCACTCTCAAAAGTAAAATTGAACTCATGCTGCCTGTCACAGTTTCCTAAAAACGATAACAGTCTCTTGTTTCAACAGAACGACTAACAGTAGAAACGGACGCTTAAACAGAAGTGAGGACCCTGTTGGGGTTCATCCTAAAGTTAGGACAGGATTTAGGAGGTTTAGTCTAGTTAGGATGTTTGTGTGATGCTGTTTTCTTATCTGGAGTTCATGATGAGATGATGAAGTCAAGAACTGTTATTCTGGAATAGCTACTGTCCTAAATCAGTCATCATGGAGATAAGATTTCAGAGTTAAGATGCTTCCAAGTTTACTAATAGATGGACCTTTAAATCTGCTTTGGAAGACCATCAATAACAGACTCCCTGACCCCCTCCCTCACCTTGAAGTGGACGTGGATGTGGTCTCTCAGGACGTCCACTCTGAAGAACTTGCGGCCGCATATTTCGCAGGTGTACTTCTTATCGCCGTGAGTCAGCAGGTGCTTGTTCATGTTACTGCGACAGGAGAACACCTGGTGGAGGGAGCAGAGCATTAGAGGAAACCAAGACATGACTAAACATGAGATTTACATCCAGTCAGACTAGGGCTGGGTGATATGACAACATTTATCGTTATCGTGATAAATTATTTCACACTACAATATAATATGCTTTTCTGAACATACTGTATATCGTTAGTACTTGTAGACACTGATCAACTGCATGTTTCATTATAAAGAGAGTAAAAATAGTCAGTTTAACTGGGTTTAGTGCCCAAATACTGAATAAAAATCACAGTTTTTGATAGTATTTTTTAAAAATGTAGCACTACTAGATGTATGAAAATGTAAATATTGTGACATATCATGTACTGTAATTTCTTAAAGCATCACGATATTATTTTTTTTACCATATCGCCCCCCCTCTAAGTCAAATGCCTTCAAGCAGTATT